TGGAAGAATATGGTGTATAGGCTCTGAGCTTTTGATTTTTCCATGATCAAAGTATGGGAAATAGTGACTCTTTAATATTGATAAGACGGTTCTAACTTTCTTTACGGGCACCTATATAAAACACTGCAGAAGTTTCCAATTCCTAAACTTAGTCAGGGGTTAGGTCACTTTTCCTCTCAAAAAACTTACAAGAATATCCCCACTGTCTTCTAGTGTTTTTCAAACTTGTAGGTCACATCCCATTAGTGGATCATGAAATCAAGCTGGTGGATTGCAAGTGGCATTCAAACAAAACAACAACAGCAACAAAAATGGAACAGAACAGAAAATGCCAGAGCATATTACATGAAGTTAAGAGAAGGTGGTGGTGGGTTTTTTAAATAAAACTTCGTTTCACTTTCACATACTAACACATATACATGTGTGTGTACTGGGCTGTGATATAAAATATATTTACTATGGTTTGTTGCAGTCCAAAATAGTTGGAAAGCCACTCTAGAACAAGGATCAAAAACTATGGCCTGAGCACCAAATTCTGCCCACTTCCTGTTTTTGTTAATAAAGTTTTATTGGCACACAGCCACACCTATTCCTTTTGTATTGTCCATGACTTCTTTCACATTACAATGCAGAGATGAGGAGATTCCTCTGTGCAGCCTGCACAACGTAACTGGCAAAACCTAAAATACTTATTATCTGGGGTCTTACAGAAAAAGTTGCCCATCCTGATCTAGAATAAGCTCCCAAATTCCTTAGCTATGTGATATTTTGAAACACAGTATATATTTTATCTTCACCCCCCACCCATTCCTGTCCCTTTCCTGGCAGTCAACTCCTAAAATCCTTAGAATATCTTAAGTTTTCTTTTTTGTAAGCTAATGAGTTGACAGATGGTTGGTAGCCCATAGGTAGTTTTCAGGATGGGGGTTGGCACAGGAAAGACCCTAACCTCTAGGGAGGGGAGTGGGGCTGAAGGGTGAATTGAACACCAAAGGCTAATGATTTAATCAATCATGAGTATGTAATGAAGCTCCATAAAAATCCGAGAGTACAGGGTTCGGGGAGCTTCCAGATAGCTGAACACGGGGCAAGTTCCTGGATTGCGGCTCACCCGAGGAGGGCATGAAAGCTCCATGACTCTTCCCCATACCTTGCTCTCTGCATCTCTTCATCTGTATCCTTTATAATATCCTTTGTAATAAACTGGGAAATGTGTTTCCCTGAGTTCTGTAAGTCACTCAGCAAATTAATCGAACCCAAAAAGGAGGTTGTAGGAACCCCAATTTATAGGCAATCAGTCAGAAGCACAGGTAAAACAACCTGTAGCTTGTGAGTGGCATTAAAAGTGGGGGGATGGGGAGATAGTCTTGGGGACTGAGCCCTTAACCTGCGGGATCTGACGCTATCTCCAGGAAGACAGTGACAGTGGACAGTGTCCACTGCAGAACTGGTTGCTTCCTTGCTGGTGGGGAAAGGTCGCCACACATTTGGTCACAACAGTCAAAAGTCAGTCTTCTGTGTTGACTATGGCTGCTTAAGAGCAGAGGAAAGATATTTCTATGTGTGTGTTTTCCCACTCAGCATGGTGTCCACTTCCTCTGCAAAGGAGCCTTTACCTACTTCTCCCACCTCTGCTCCTGCCAAACCAATGCAGTTGATGTTTCCCTGGAACACCCAACATGCCCTCATGAACTGCTGATGGCACAAAAGCTGGTGTAACTCTTTAGTAAAGCAGTTTGGCAACACATACCAAATGCCTTATAATGTTAACACCTTTAGACCCAAAAAATCCTGTATCAGGGAATCAAGGGAAAGAAAACAATCTGCTCTATGAAAAAATCTTATGTATACAGATACTTTTATAATCATAAAAAAAAAAAACAATCTCAGTTGGTTACAGCATCGTGCTAATAACACCAGGGTGCAGTATTTGATCCCTGTACTGGCCAGCTGTCAAAACAAAAACCAGATTAAAACAAAACAACCTAAAATGCCCAATATTAGGGAAATGACTCTGCAAACCAGGACATAATATATACTGTGGATTTTTTTTTTTTCCTTTTTTGTCTTTTTTCGTGACCGGCAACAGATTGCAACCCTCAGTGT